AGCATTACCCGGAAATAAAACCCATGACGAATCACAGATGGTTACATGGGAATTTACCTTTTTACCCCCGTCATTAAAGTCCACTATAGGCAAGAATATGGCCCATGCATGGTTTGATTGTCATAGTGATTTTAGACAGTTCATCAAGAAGTCTCTCTCTTTCAAGAGAAGGGGAAATTGAATAAGAAAGAAAGGAGATGTGCATGAAAAGCATACAAGCATCTCAATCATTAAGACAAGGAGGGTTCTTCTTCTTCCACAATTTTATGCTTTTGCTTCTGTTCAGGACTCTATAGTTCTATTCCATAATTTGGATTCTTTCTCTTTTGAACTTTGCCCGGACCAGTAATTGTCCTTTTGGGGGGTGTTTTTTTATTTACGTGGGCCTTTTGTCTCTCTTTCTTTTGGATTCTTCTATTTTTTTATTTTTTATTTTATCTGTTTTTAAGTAAACATGCATTACTATCATAACCTAAGGCTTATCTACTCTCGATTAAACATTTGGGGTTATGGGTGATAGATTCGGCCTAAGATTTCAAAGCGAGAGAGTGAAGTCGCTCACGTTTATTGGTTTCCTACGCAAGTTACAAGGGAGCATCACCGGTTAGAATGAGTGTGCACAAGAGAGATTAAAACTTAGAACTCGTTTGAAAATACATTTAAAATGATTTAAAGTGTTTTTTTTTTTTGTGGTTCAATTGGATTTTTACTAATAAAGAGTGATTTCAAAATATTTTTACAAAAAATACTTCAAAACGAGCCCTTAGATTTTGATAGGGAAAATTTCTTCAAGGTATCACCAAATTGTTGGCATGATTGACCGAACCACAATTTTTTTTTTTTTTTTTTTTGAAACAAAGAAGTAATTTATTGAAGAGGGAAACCCAAATATAATCATTCCCTACATAATCAAACCAAAGAGCATCTAAAGCAAAGGAGGAGGACAGTGATCCTAATTATGACAATCAGTAATAAGGTCATGGCGAGCAAATGCATCGGTGACAAAGTTCGCCTATTTGAAGATATGGCTCCTATTGTGTGTTATTTTTACTTGTGTTTTTGTTTATGGTATGTGTATATATGGCTCCTATTGTGTTGTTATTTTTACTTGTTCTTTTTCTTTAAGATATATGTGTGTGCACACACACACACACACACACCCCAGCATTATGAGAAAAAAGTCAATAATTAGATAATTAACTCAAACACATTTGTTTCTGGCAAATCCAATTTGCTAGTGAATTGCAACATAGGATGCTGCCATCAACATGGCACCCGTCATTTTCAATTGGACATTAAATTTTACAACTTTATAATCAATTGCACAAATTTTTTACTGTTCTGCTATAACATGTCTACTTTTGTAATTTTATCTCTAGATTCTCTACCACTCATTCTTTTCCACAGGAAAAAAAATGCGCCATTTATTTGCTAAGCTAGGGTACACACATAATTGAAGTGGAAGATTCCTATCTCTACCACTCATTCTTTTGGGAACGGATCCACTCCTAAGCTTAGGAGGTTGAGCCTCCTGAGCAAATCACACGAACCGTTGGATTTTGATCCAACGGCTACAATTATTAAATTTTAGATAAGCCTCCTATTTGTAGTCGTTGGAGCCTCCTATTTGTAGTCGTTGGATTAAAATCCAACGTCGTGTGTAATTTGCTCAAAAGGCTCAGCCTCTTAAGCTCAAGAGGGGATCCGTTCCCATTCTTTTTCACTCTTAAAATAGCTTTTCCAGGATTTGTCTAGTGGATGTAAATGGGAGGATAGGGCAATCATCTATGTCATAATTTACAGAAACCTTACTAGGCTTGGCATGTCACTTGTGCGTATTAGTAAATTAAGATGAAATATCAAGTTGAACACAGGTTCTAAGGAATTTGTATCCTCTCCGGGCTTTAGTGTCCGGATCTCAAAGAACATTGGTTTGTGTGAAAGAGAAATAAGAGTTATTGGTTTGTGTTAGGTGAGTCAGCAGAATAAGTTAATGGGAACTATTTGATTTGATTTGAGTGGTCTGGATTGTCTGGTCTCTGAGTTCTAGACAATGAGATTCGGAGTAGGTATCTATCCAGTTCTAGGAATTAAAAAATATCATGTTTATGAAAAAAATACCAAGTTCATCTTGTCTTCAAGTATTATTATTATTATTATTATTGTTGTTGTTGTTGTTGTTTTAGGATTTTAATCTCGGGGTTGACATTGAGGTTTTAAGTTTTAGATGTCCGTCAAGGTTTGGTGTTAATCATTTTGGATTTTAGGTTTTAGAATGTCCTTGAATGAGCTTAGGGTTTAGGTGTAGGTCACTGATTTTGGGCGAATTAGACCTATGCCCTAAGCGATTAACGTGGTGATTTTTTTATGGGCGTTTTCATACAGTTGCCTAACTTTTGAAATTTTGAGATTAAACATTAATGTTTTAGGCGTTTGATTAAATATTTTTCCTACAATTTCGGTGCCTCAATATTAGATATGGCCTTTTTTGTAATGAGAAATTACCCAACTTGCCATTATATTTAGGGTAATAAAAGGGGGACCAATTATTTAGACCAAATTTTGTAAACCATATAACATAGTTATTAATGATTGAATTATCACTTAAATATTGTTTAATGTGCTTATTTATTATTAGTGACACATCACACGATTTACAAATTTGGTCTAAAAGGTCGATCTTTCTAACATTACTGTTATATTTAATATACCTTTTAAAACCTGGATAATATATAAAAACTTCTAAAATCAGGTAGATATATGTTGTAGTATTCAATCTTGAGATAAAAAAAAAAAAAAAAAAAAAAAAAAAACAAACTGAATGATATCTTGAAGAACTGAATTTGTTTACTCAACTCAATGAATAGAATGACTGATGTACATTAGAGTGAGTGGCAAAGAAATCATGAATAATTCTACTTTTGAGAGAGTCTAGCTTGATATGTTTCTTTATATGCAACATCCATCGGCCCTCAAATTGTATTATTATATTCCAAAAGTAGTAATTGTGAAAAGCATACATTGGTAAGAGAGTAGAGAAGGCTTTGATATATGCTATACCAAGAGCAAGTTTAGGGGCTTGCAGAAAGCCAGGGCAAGGGCTGCCCAATTGCGCTTTATACTGAAAAAGCACTTTCATCGGTTCATTTTGTGGACGGCAATTGGTGGGCAAATATATATTCGTATAAAAACCCCAAGCAATTTGAGTTCAACCTTACGCTAGCAGTCAAGATTGATGCCAGCATGACGTTAGTCACATTTTCCTTTTTTTTTTTTTTTTTTTTTTTTTTTTTTTTTTGTGTCTGGCGTGTGTAACACACGAGCAGCTTGAGTGAGTTGGTCGACAGCGTTTGCTGTCGTAAGTAGGGATGGGTCGGTTTCATTTGGTTCGATTTTTTACCAAAATCAAGACCAAACCGAAATTTCTGTTTGGTTCGATTTGATTTTCTTTCACTTCATTTTTTTGTTTGATTTTGTTTGGTTCGGTCTTGGTTTAGTTTCAATTTTTCTATTTTATCAATGTCGCACACTTAAACAACTGACCTTACTAATCCTCTAGAGTCTTGATAGTAATAAAAGCAAACCAACTTTTATCTTATCTCTTCTGTAATTGGGAACGCTGGAATGACTTTTATCTTGTCTTCACTGTACATTAAGGTAGTCTTGTGTAATCTGCCATTCAAATGGGGAATTTTAGCAGAAAGCGTCAGAAGGAAGTTAGATATTATCTACCAATTTCAAGGCCACATGATTGCACATGGTGGCATTTACTTATTATTTAAGAAGAATGTTAAGATCAGTTTAGAGACTTAGGCTTAGGTTTAAATACTAACATAAAACGACATCATTTTAAGTGTAAATGCATTTGGATTGGATCGGTTTTCAGACCTCTAAAACTGAAACTGAACTAATAATTTTTGGCTTGGTTCAGTTTTTCTTTTTTCGGTTTTTGGTTTTTCAGTTTCGGTTTGATGTTCAGTCCAGATTTTTTCAGTTTTCGATTTTTTGAACCCAACCCTAGTTGTGAGCCCTGCTGCTACAGAGCCAAATCACGAGTCACTTGCTAAATGATATGGCACAACAATAGTCGTTGGACTTCCAATAGACTAGTCATCTAGACCGTTGGATTTTAAATAGTAAACGAAAATTGAAATAGTTATTGTTGTGCCACGTGGCACTAGAAAAAATGAATATATATATATATATATATATATATTTCATCCTATAAATATCAAATCATCTTTTTGGTTTGCCTTTTATTTTTAATTAATTATGTTTATTGTAATGCTATGCTTTGTTCTGCATTTGAAATTAAATTATCCGGGTTAAACAAAGAGTTTTCTTTTCAAAGAACAAACTACAAAGTTCACACTTAAATATTCTTACAAGTTATAAAAAAGAAAAATATATATATTTATGTATAGTAGTAACTCTTGTCCTTGCCAAACAGATTGAGTTGCACAAAGGCAATTACTTTTCAAAAGGCGATTAACATGCCCTTGCCCTTGCCTTCAACGAGTGAACTTGCTCTAAATTATCATCATGCTTCACAAAAGCTGCATATATGCTATTTCCCCTTGAAGTTTTATAACAATGAGTGTCCAAATTTTCCACAATGGGAAAATTTAGAGTCAAATATCTCAAGTACCCTTTCTCTTTACTTGTAAGTGATAGGACTTGGTTTTGATCCTCGCCAATAGCGAATTTGAACCACATTATTGCTAGGTCATTATGAGGCTCAGCCCACTCATCCACCCCTTATTATAGATAATATCGTTTATTTAATAAAAAAAAAATAAAAAAACCTCTCAAGTACCCTAACCGAAAACAGAGTAACTTTATAGCATATATGGAACAAGGTCAAGTAACCTTATTATTGTAATTATGAGAGACCCCCAACATTTTTATTTACCTCATATATATTTACATTGTAATATTGACACATTAATTAAAAGGGTACATTATTCATTTTTTTAACAAAAACTAGAAGGCATGGCCAATATTCCATACCCATACAGTAGTAAATTTATTAATTAAGCTGAACTTTTAGCAACATAATCCCAAACCAAACCTGTGGAAATTGAAAAGTTGCGCTTCCTGATTTGAGTAACTACTTGGACTTTGGAGCAGCAGCAAAAGCAAGCAACATATATCAACTTTAAACAATTAAAACTTGCCAATTAAGCCGCTGATTTCTTCAATCCTTCGATGCATGTTTTTGACCCATTGTTTCTGACATCTGAGTCACTGCCACAAGAACTCCGGCTCTTCATCAAGCCATGGCACAGAGAAGCGAAACCCAGGATCACTGTGATGCCCAACATCTAAAAGCAGATCAGGAAGGTCAAAAAACATGTCATCGTTGTAACTGTTTGATGGGGAAGTTGATGATGAATCATGAGTACTGCTGTCATGAACAGCTTGGCTGATCAGCTCTGTTTCGGCTTCCGCTTCTGCTTCAAGGCTGCTGCTTCTGCAGCTTCTAGTTGGGTAGGTACTTGCAGCTGCCTTGGCAGCAGCAACTTGGATGTCCTTTGGCAAGGCGGAAGCCGGAACAGGAAGCTCTTGAGCCAGCTCAGGGAAGTTGAGCACCGCAGAGCGGCCTTTGATAGTAAGAGCGGCGACATCATGTGCGCGAGCGGCCATTTCGGGGGTGGGAAAAGTTCCAAGCCAAATTCTTGACTTCTTTCTTGGCTCTCGGATTTCTGAGACCCATTTGCCCCATTGACGCATTCTCACTCCCCTATACGTTGGTTTATGAGGATGCCTCTGCTGTCTCCCATCACCATTAATACCATTGTTAATCTTTGCTTTCTTCTTACTAATTTGATCATCATCATCATCATCATTAGTACTAGTAGCTTTCTCATGACCATCAAGTAGTTGTATTTGATTTGATGACGACGATGATGATGATCTCTCGCTAATTTTTCGTGCCGGAGATTCTGCAGAAGGAGAGGTGGTAGAATTCGAGTAAGAAGAAGATGTGGTCTGAGCCTCACAATCTATAAAATTGAATTGTTCTTCTTCCATGTTTAAGTGGGTAGAAGAAAGAAGAAGAATGTGGTAGAGAGCTCTCAAAATAGGGGTATGGGTTCTTCTCTTATGATTCTTGCACATGAGAAATGGTATATATCATATATTATATATATATATATATATATATATATATATATACTTAAAGCAGTGGCCAAAGTACAAAAGACTACGAACACTGTTCCATGCTTGACCTCTGACCATTCATTTCTGTTTGCTAACAAATTACAGATATCCATATACGCGTCAGTATGTAATTTATCAATACAAAGAAATGATTCGTAAAATATAAGCAATGCAAATCAAATGACAGAGTGAATTGAAGATCAAGTCGAAAAACAAAGAAAAAAGCTTGCAGATTCAGGCTTCGATGTCCCATTTGACCACGACCCGTCATTTTTAAGAAAACAGCGATGTGCATCAAACTCACTGTCATGATGTGGTATATGGGCATTTTCAATCAAATTACATTTTTTTCTCTTAAGTGTTATAAGATTTAAGCCCTTTCAGTATTTTGTTATTTGCTTAATAATTCTATTTTATTTGGACTCCTAAGGCTTGTAGGGTTAAGTTCCATTATTAGTAGCACGTTTTGGTATTGGGGTTGTTATCTTCTAATTTTTCAATATTGAACGTTGAAACTTTTTGATATTTTTTAAGTGAATTCCGGTGTTCTTGTGCTTTCAAACTAACGTCGTTTATCATTTTCTTCGTCAAGCTGGGTCAAAAGGAGACTGAGTGTTTTCCAAAGAGTAGATTGTTGGTAATTTTGCAGCCCCATGTTAATGTTTGAATGGTGTATGGTTTGCATCATCTTTTATAGTGGCTTTGTATCTTTGGCCTCTCTCCCACATCTTATTAACGAAAGTAGGGCATTTAGATGTGCTATTTATAATTTAATTGGTTGCAACTTTACGCTACTTAAGGAGGTGGGCCGTTCAAATAGTTGCTTATAATTGCTTCCCCAACCCCCAAGAAAACGTTTGTTTTTTATCAAGCCACGAATTTCACATGGAAGCTGGTTTGAGGTGTTTTTGGCTTCATTATTATACCATATGGAGCTTTCTTACAGTTACAATTATCTTAACTTCGATCTGGTTCACTAATTAACACTGATCTCTCTCCGTTGATGTTGAAAGTATGTCAAATTTCGTTTCCTGACCTCAATATATATAGTTCTCTTCGATACATGGAAGCCTAATTTTCCCACATAGACACGTACATATAGGGATAATTCATATATATAAGTCCCTTTCTGTTGAGGCATTCTTCAAATAATTTTATCGATAGTGGTAGAGAAACCAAATTTTTTAAACAAAATTTGCAAACCAAATGATGTGGTTGTTGATGACTGAATTATTACTTAAGCGTTGATCAACGTGCTTATTTCCTATAGATGACACATTATTTGGTTTGTAAATGTGATTTAAATTTTTGGACTCTATAGAATTACCCTAATTTTATTTGAGGGACATCTTGTGGGGCTCGTTTTACATCGTATTTCTACAATCCAACCATCCATCTTTTAGATTTTCTCTCAACGATCATCTTTACAAAAAAATCACTCAAATATAAAATTATTTTACTGTTGATTAAATTGTAGTCATATTAGTCTTTGAGTAAAAGATTTTTCACGAGTCTTAGACTTGGAGTTGGAATAAGGTGGTATTTCAATTATCACAGTGAAAATTTTTGAAAACACTAAGCTTAGAAGATAGCATTTTTTATTGCAATGTTATCAATGAGGATCTAGAACTTTGTCTCGGTCCTCCAATTGTAACTGTATTTAACTCTGCCATTCAAACTCTGAAGTTGGTCTGCTTTGAAAAAATTGTTGGACTAAAACTTTATTTCGTGATACAGGACGCAAATGATGAAAAGTCCCAAGTATTTTACTCTAATAAGTAAATGATTTGAGTAAATAATGCTTAGCAAAAATGTGCAGGCACACATTTATTAACATAGAATAATCGAAGTCTCATGAATAGGGCAAAATGAGCATGCTTTCAGGGCGCAGCTCAAGGGATCGGTGGCCTAAAGTGCAGCATATTCCTTGAACTGTTGCACACAAATCTCCACACAACTGTACATGTTAGATGTGACTAGTTAGCGATTTTGTGTCTCCACAAAGCCTTATCACATAGTGCTACGGGCTATGTAGCTGAAAGGATTAGTGACCTCATTTAATAAGTAAACACATTCCCTGAACTGTTGCTCGTGAAGTTCCATATAACTACACTCATAGTTAGCGTTTTTTCATGACTTCACCGAGCATTATCATGTTTCACTATAGGCCACGCAACTCAAAGGATTGGTGACCTCATATTACAAGTGCAATACAACTTTCTGGCAGCGTATGTGAGACTTCATCATGTCACACGATTTAGCCCTTTGTGAAGTACAAGATCTCACAAGCTCAGTGTGCACTGCCCATATAACCTTGCCTCAATCACACAAATAGGTTCTCATGTTAGAAAACTTTCGTTCGAGCAATTGAAGTCAACAACCAGCTTAGTAGTGTCAGGGCCACACGGTCGAGTGGCAATATCGCACAATGAACTCGTAGCTCTATGTCAACTAAAGTTTCATGGAAATTAAAGGATTTTTAGTCAAAATGATCCCTAAAATTCGTATAACTCCTCACTTTGGTCGTTGAGATTTGAAATCAATAGAAGTGGTTCCTGAGATTGTCCACCATTAATTATTTTGGTCATTCGGTGAAAAATTATGTTAAGTAAGGATGAAATGACAAAACTACCCTCAATTTAATAAAAAATAGGTCAAAGATTTGACAACAATTGAAGGTATTTTGGTCATTTTATCCTTAATTTATGAACATTTTATCCTTATTCAAAAACTCATTAGCGAGTAACACGCCCTTCAGCTCCTCATCCTTGGACTCAAATTCATTGGCAGTCTTCTGAAGACAATTGATCTCATTGGCAGAAGTTAAAATTTCCTATATATCCTTTGCATAACAAGCAGAACGAAGCTCATAGTTGATCTTCCCCATCTTGGATTTTCAACTGGTACAATTCTTTATCTTCTATGCAGCTTCCATTGATGATCGAAAAGTAACAAGCTTGAGCTTCGGATCCTCATTCTCTTGACAATCTGCTTCCAGCTGCGGAATTATTAGGAATTTGTTTATCAGCAGATTTGTATGCACGCTTCAGTTGGAGAATGATTTTTCTAGTATTCTTCTTGTCTCCATTCGAATAACTTTGTTCCTCCTTGGCTTCTTTGTACGCATCACTTTACCTACTTTGTCTGCATTCGAGAGATGATTTTTTATCTCATATTTACTGAGAAGGGAATATGGTTGCGAATATGTAGTTTAGCTAACATGGGTTTGTCTTCCTCAACTTTGGTGTGACATGACTCCTGACTATTGAAGGTTTTCATGTCTTTGCATTCGGATTTTCTTAGGAGCTGTCTGATAACCATTTCGTTTTCACTTTTTTGAAAACTGAAATATTGTTTAGTGACTTTTTTCAGTTTTCAAAAAAACGATAACTAAAACCTACTTTCTTGAGTTTTTAAATTTTGGTCCTTGAGTTTTTACATTTTGATTTTCAGTATTCACTTCTTTTTTTTTTAACTGAAAGTAATTATCAAATAAGATCTTAATTTAAAAAAAAAAAACAAATAAAAAATTAAAAATGAAAACGAAATAATTATCAAATGCCTCTTTAACTTCCTTAAAATCCAAATTCAAACGAGTGTGAGATGCAGCTTATTTTAATGTACCTTTCATTTTCAAGTTCTCTTTATTACGAGGGGGCATGGTTTATGTCATGGCTGACAGCGGCAGAGTTGTCTAAAGGACCAGCTAGGCTATAGTAGATAAAAATTCAAAAGGAGCAAAACAGTCATTCAGTTGGAAGGTTTTGACTCGGCATATATGTCAAAGGGAAGAAAGATTAGTTCAGCCCATCCCACTTTGTAATCCTGGTTTCATCTCTTCTGCTCTTTGGCTACCTGTAACTTTCTTACAATGGTTATTCACTTTTCTCTCTTAAAAAGTTGGTCATTTATTTTATAAGAATCAAAATTATGATAGTTTAATATATTGAACTGGAAAAAGAGAATCTCTCTCATAAAATTTAATTCAAATATTTCAGTCCAATTTGATTCCTATATGTCGGAATCAAATTTATTTTTCGACCCACTATGGAACACCTAAAAATCAATTTGAACATTTTTTTTGTCTAATTATCTTCTTTAAAACTTTTCATTGTCAGAGTTTATTAATAAAAATACATTCAAACCTTACTTTCAACATTTCATCATGAATTATTTGTTCTTGTTTGCCTAATTTGTCTATCATTTGTGTGTCTGCAATACGGTTTCTCACGTCGTTGATTTGATTACAGAGCTTGGCCTAAGTGTTCAAGATCTTGGTCAATAGTATCGGAAGGATAGATATATAAAATTAGGTATTCAACTGGTAGTAATACTGTTTTTGTTTGTAATTGATTTGATTTTTCTAAACAGTCATATTTATTCCTAGGGTTAGATGATAATATAAAGGAATATAGACTCAATTACACCCAAAACTTGAGAAATTTTATGTGTTATCACGTGCTGTATTATTTCACATGATAATTAGTAACATAATCTATATATCCTGCTGTTGGAGTATATTAATAAAAAATAAATACACGTATTATAAATTTAAATGAATTAGTAACACTATATAATAATACTTTTAGTACACCAAAACATATCTCCCCAGACCCTAATCTTGGTCAGCGCTGGCTTTGTGCCAACTTTGCCTAATGAGCGTTACTATTATTCCTGGGATATTGGATCTTCTCTTAACCCATTGTTGACTAAACAGCGGAATGATATAAAAGTATTTCATATCTGTTTATTTTTTCCAATAATATGCTGAAAATGAATGTGTTTCAACATTTTGGCAACAATGCACCTACGTTGGGACCTCTATTCGAAGTTTAAAGAATTTTTATCTAATACACAAACACACTTATATATATATATATATATGTGTGTGTGTGTGTGTGTGTGTGGATTTGGTCAGTTTGTCAGAGCATTGTGCTCGTCCCTTGCACACAAGTTAGAATTGTCCTCCTTTAACTATAATAGTTTTGTCTCGTTAAAAAAAAATTAGGCTTTTTAGCCAAAATGATCTCTGAGATTTGCATAATTTCTTACTTTGGTCCCTAAGATGTGAAATCGATAGAATTAGTTCCTGAGTTTGTCCACAATCAATCATCTTGGTCATTTCTTAAAAAATCTCAATAAAATAAGAATAAAATGACCAAAATACTCTCAATTTTTGTTAAATCATTTTGGCCTATTGTTTATTATATTAAGAGTAATTTTGTCATTGAGATCTTTATTTAACCTAATTTTGCATTGAAAAACCAAAATGATTGATTGTGGACAAACTTATAGACCACTTCTATCAATTTCAAATCTCAACAACCAAAGTGATGAATTATGCAAATCTCAGAGATCATTTTGACTAAAAAGCCAAATATTTAATACATTCAAACTACATGAGTAAATAACTACTAGGGACATTTTTTTTCTTCAGTTAAAAAACATCGAATGTATGGTTGATAACTTCTAGCTCTAAGTCTATTTTGGTTGATAGTTTGGCAGTAAATAGAACATGTTAGATGGTGGCGTGACCAAAAGAGCAGTTTTCCACGTTTCCTCCACACATGAAACATTCCATAATTAATTCGTCAGATGAGAGAGTACTGCAATCATCAAAAGTGGAATGTGAACGAATGCAAAAATTATCCCGGAAAGTGAAAGTTACCAAACATTTCAGGCTTTTAGCCATTTACTAGTTGGGTTTCAGGTTCTTGACAATTATGATTTGTTCGTTTAAGTTATAACATATGTAGATTAAATTTTAAATTCTCTTATAATTATGAAATTTTGTTCGTTCAAGTTGATCCCAAATTTTATATTAATGGGTAATAGAACTTGTCTCCTTACTCGTTAAAGAATATATATTTTACTTCAATAAAATAATCAATTGAAAAATGTTATACTAAATTAGTATCTATATACCACTTTATCACTAAAACACATTTGCCTTTCATGTGTTACATACCCCAAAATAGAAGCCTAATGAAAAAGCATTAGTACATTACTATAAAATTCAAAGAGAAAATTATAGCACTAGTCCATCAACTTTATTCCAATTGGAGTAATTGTCCCTCAACTAAAAATTTATTACCATTGGTCCCTTAACTCATCAAAACGTGCAGTTATGGTCCTTTTCGTTAAAACTCAAGTTAAACTGTGCCTGATTAATGTTTAGAAATTCTCTTTAGCACATTTTTATCACGAGCAAACGGTTAAGATTTAACTAAATGAGCTATAGTTGAATCTAAACCCTTCTTCTTCTTTTTTTTTTTTTTTTTTTCTAAAAATAAATGCAGGGAAGATTTTCTCTAATTCGGAAAGGAAGCTCAACTCTAAATCCCAAGCCTAATGTCAATAGGCCATGGCCCATGGGTTATTATGTCAAATGAGGCCTTTGGTTTTTCGTTTATTTTATTAGGTGGTTGGTGGTTCACTCTCTTCTGTTCTAATTTCGGTAGACATTATTAGCTACAAAAATAGGTTGGACAACAGTGACCATTACAATGCTACAAAAATAGGTTGGACAGTAGTTTTTATAGGGCCGGAGTCCGGACCATTGGCATTATAATGAAGACACGGGGCAGCAGTGGAAGGCCGAATCACTTAACATAGTACTGCACTGCATGTTATTAGTGTTGTACTCAATTTTTTGGCTGATTGTGGAACGTCTTAGTACTGATTTGGTATTGAAGTACTTTTATAAAAAAATAGGTATCAAAATAAATTGAGCTCAAAAAGATGTTTGGTAAACACTTAAAAACAGCTTATTTTCAAAGTTTTGGGTGAAAAAAAGCTGAAAACGTGAAGCAGCAAAGATGAGCTTATTCTCACAAAATAGCAGAAATAGTTTTTTTCAAAGCACAGCATTACCAAACCAGCCCTTAGTACTGGTTTGGTACTGAGGTGTTTTTATAAAAAGTGGGTATAAAAAAAAAAGTTGAGCTCAAAAAGGTGTTTGGTCTCTTAAAAACAACTTATTTTCACAGTTTTGGGTGAAAAAAAAATTAAAAACGGGAAGCAGCAAAAATGAGTTTATTCTCACAGCACAGCAGAAGCAGTTTTTTTTCAAAACACAATAATACCAAATTAGCCCTTAGTTTTATTGTTTGAGGATGTCTGTTGTCTCACATTGGAAAAGTAAAGGATTTTGCATGTGATTGACAATAAGTTTTGGTGCAAAAGCTCAATTTTTTTCGTATATCAGAATAGACATATGAGTTGAGTTGTTCACGTATTTAACTTAAGTTTCTTTATGCGTAAAAAAGCATATGAGGATATGAAGTGTTGTCCACGTGTTTCTAAATATCGTGTTGTCTTGTAACAAAAATAAAGGTTAAAACTCAGGTTAGACTGTGCCTGATTAATGTCTAGAAATTATCTTCCGCACATTTTTTGTCACGAGCAAACGGTTAAGATTTAACTAAATGAGCTATAGTTGAATCTAAACCCTTCTTTTTTTCTAAAATAAGTGCAGGTGAGATTTTCTCTAATTCGGAAAAAGAAGCTCAACTCTAAATCCCAAGCCCAATATCAATAGGCCATGGCCCATGGGTTATTATGTCAAATGAGGCCTTTGTTTTTTCGCTTGTTTTATTAGGTGGTTGGTGGTTCACTCTCTTCAGTTCTAATTGGTAACTTGTATTCGAAGAAAAGAGAAAAAGCAAAACCCTGTAAGTGAACTGAATGGCTTTTGGGAGAGCTCGAGCGGCATCTTCCACCCTCTTCAGTCGTCTCTTTCGCCACTCCGTCAACACCAACGTCACCACTTCCTATCGCACTATCTCCACCGACGTCACCGCCTGCTAAACTCCTCATCCATCAAGCACTAGCAAAGCCAATCAGTTTTTACTTTGACATCAATTTTCCAATTGGGACGTTGCCTGCCGCTTAGTGCTTTTGAACATTAGGACCAAAATACACAACATCGAGATGTACTCGGGGCGAGACGGAAAGTTGGTTGGACCGCCGGAAACTTATGCAACGGTTTGAAAGAACCATCCTGAGCAGGATGCCTAGTGAAGTTGCCTTCCCGTGCTGAGAAGTGGATTGATTCTAAGTTCCTGGCGACAATTGGGACGGTCCCAAGTGAGCCAAATCTAGGGAATAAGGAGAAGCAGTTGTATAATGCTGGGCCAAGCCGGTGGTTGGGGCAGCGGCCCAAGGTTCGAGGAGTTGCGATGAACCCGATTGATTATCCACACGGTGGAGGTGAGGGTAAGAGCAAGGGAAGGCCTTCTGCAACACCTTGGGGTAAGCCTTGTAAGGATGGCTACAAGAGTGGACCCCTCAGGCGAAGAAAATAGACGGCTTGTTTGGGAGAAAGTAAATGGTATGCGTGAATATATCCTTAATGTTGAAATTTGATGACAGGAAGTAACGGGACCTTTTAACAACATTCCGACTCCTCCAATTTACCAAAAACGAGGTTCGAACTCAAGTGCAAGAAGACGTAACTCCTAATGTTTGTGCCTAAAACGCCGCCCTTTTCTTATGCAAGCGACGATGGAAGAGAGGAGAATCAAACAATAAACCTCATGCACAACTAAATGCCCTTGGACCATTTTGCAATCACATATCCATCTTCAGCAGCAAAATTGCCGTCAAAACTTACAACATAACTTTTATTTATACTCTGTTAGCCACATTCATATAGTCAATAAGATTACATTGTCTCCCATATTCAGGAACAAATCATTACAATTACTTAAGAAAAGTTTCACGCTACATAAATACGAGTATTCGATGTTGATCAGCAACCACCTGCTGGTGCTTTTATTGGCGACGACAAAATCCCCCATCACACCATTAATCACAGTCTTGCGTTACGGAGCTGGTTCTTCAGCAGGGGCTGGACATATTCCCGATAGCCATCGGGCACAACTGACTCGTTAAGAGGATCTTTCCAAGCCTCCGCATAGAGACTCGGGTACACATTACCATCATAGCGGCCTAGAATTGAGCCGAGGTAGTGGTCGGTGAAATTAAATGCATCAACGAGGGCAATGGCATTGGGACGGAGCTACCATAAATAAAGATTTACGAGCTATTAGACGAGAGTCACCATTAAAGAACGAAATGTAGACTTTAAGCAAAGATGATTGGGCAAACCTGGGAATAAAGAGATCGAAGTTGATCATTTGCAAGTGAAGCTTGCTTTGCTGTGATGCTTCCAGTGGAGAGGAAATCACCCAAATGCTTGTGAATGGTGTATAAAGCATAGATGTTGCAGAGGATCTCCAGCTGTTTTTTCACCCCCTTCCCTGGTATGTCTTGTTGGACTTTATCGATGAACCTATCATGAAAGAAAAACAAGCAAGATTACCAAAGTGGAAATTAACTACGGGTCTTTCAGAATTAGATCCTGCCCGGCAGTGCCCTCGCTGTCATTTCATTGAATTAGGAAACGAAGGTACATGTGCCACAAACACAGAGGAATTCAGAGTTAAAGAAGTAAATTCAAGGCCAAAACATTTTAAACAAAATGATTGGACGAAACTTACTTGGAAACAACAATTAATTGGCAATGAGCTACTGCTGCCTCAGCTAAATTAGATGAGAGTTCTGCAAAGCCTGAAGCATTGGAAATGCATCAAAATTAATTAATATATCATAACGGAACAGCATGAGCTGTGAATGACCAAGAAGATTCATTTAAGTGAATAATTAGTATCTATCCGAGAGATTAAAATACAAACAACGAACTAAGGTCTCAGAAAGACTATAAAATGTCTACAATGTGTCCCATGTATAAAATTGTTCGTGAAATCTTTCCGTTTTCATCAGGAAAAAAAAACACATGAATAAAACAAGTAACAAACTCAGAATAGAGACAATAAATTTAAAAATAAATAAATAAAAACACAAACCTTCTTCTTGATTTGAAAACTTGCTAAGGTCTTGAGCACAGGCAATCGACATCCTAATAGCCCTTGCTTCAAATACCTCAAGTATCACACTAGGGTTCAACCAATCCTCAGCTGCATGCCAACATAAGTGTATATGCATATTACTAAAACAGAATCTGTGCTTTTATGCAATGTAAAATATAGCAAAGTTGTGCATGACAATGTGAAAGAGGTAAAGAAAGCCAACAGATTGGATATGGAAAAAAAAATACAACCTTTTTGAGCACTAGAACGACATTGGATCAAATGTTGAGCACGGCCCATATAAGTTGTGGTTCCAACAGGCTTTTTACCAGATGGTAGCTGAGCAACAGTCTTCATTAGAAACCTTGCAACCTAAAAGAGAAATTGTCAGAAATACTTCAGCACACAAAATATACATTCTGATAGCAGCATGTTGAATCCACCACTGAATAAACCAAAAGTAGATTCCCCCAAATTACTACAGAATAAGAGATCTTAAACCTATTTCCAGAAAATTCAGGATGTAAAATTTTAAAAAGATGAAAACAAAATCACAAGCACAAGCACATTAGGGTTTCTTAATTCAAGTACCTGTAGAAGTAGAACAATGTTGTCTCCTTCATATGTACATGCTGGTACATAAACGGCAAATAATTCAGGAAGCCCACTGTTAGATAGATAACCATGGCCACCACATAATTTCCGGCATTCTTCAATGCCATCCTGTCAAGAAAATGAATAAATAAATAATGAGAGAGAGAGACAGAGAGAGAGAGAGAGAGAGAGAGTCTGTCAATGAGATAAGAAAGTTCCATATTTGTTGTCAAGTTGAAAAGCTTCACAGGCCTCCCAAAGAAAAAAAAAATGGAAAGGAAGCAAGGGCAGCAATAATCACGTACAGCAGTTGCAGAAGTGGTCAATGATTTCAGACCCGCAGTGCATGCATGAGCCTCAGGCAATGTCGAGAAATCATTAGCTTGCAACTTCTCTGTCACATCCGTGTATAGCCATTTCAACCACTCACCAACAAATCTAAAAGCATAGGCAGAAGCCAGCAAAGGGAAGAGCCTACTTTGCTGAGTCTTGTAATCAATGACCTAAAGCAAAACATGAACCAAAACCAGTAAATAAAACATCTTCATAAGAAACAAATAAAACCAGCATCTCTAAACTCATGGAGAGAATAAGAAAACTAATGAAACAATTTGCCATCATACCTGTGTTTCAAGGCCACCATCTTGTGAACCAAATTGTCGACGAACGGCACTATACCTAGTAGCAATACATACTGCCCGTGATAAAGCAGAGGAAGCATCAGCTACAATCGTTTGCCGCACATAAACCATAGTTCCATACAGCAGCTGTCGTGGAACATTGGATTGTACGTATTTTCCTTCTCTTGTGACCTGTGAGACCCTGGCACATTTGAAAGAAACATCAGGATAGTCTTCCTATCTATCTAACTAAATAAGTAAAATAGGCAGTTATAAATTTAAACATCAGAATGACATTTTGTCTATCATTAAGTATTACATACCTCATCAACATTTGTTCCCTTGGTATACGGACATGATCAAGTCTAAGAACACCATTGTCCATGGAGTTGTATGCCCCACTTCCAAATTTCATCCCAATATCGCCAACTATTATGCCTGGAAGTGGTAAGTGATCATCCAAGCTCCGAAGTTGGACAATGAAACCTAAAATCAGAATTTTATAATTAAATTCAATCAATCATTCATTTCATGAAAGGAGTGTCAAAATAATATAAACTTGGTACTTACCATGCACTCCATGGTCTTGACCATCAGTAATAAGACGGGCATAAACAACAGCATGTGTAGCAGCCTTTCCTAAACCACCAGGCCACCACTATTCAAAACAATAAGGAAGAACAATAAGAACGTAACTTAGTCACTTTGATCATGTATGCATAAAGAACACTCTACATTATGGTTGAATATATAATATATCAATACTAAAGAAATGGTAACAAGAACAATTCTGCACAACAAACTTGTATTATCATAGATACTAAAATTTCACTCAATTCAAAAATAAGAAGATTAAGCAAAACACCATTATAGAAATAACTCACTTTGCTTGATGTGAGAGTAGGACTATTAATAACAAACTCGTCAGTCTTTGGATCAAAAGTTGCAGTGGTCTCCAGCCCTTGAACATTGGAGCCATGACCAAGTTCAGTCTGAGCATAGCAACCAATGATTTGCATTTTGTATGCCAGCGGCAACCACTTCTTTTGCTGCTCCTCAGTACCTGATCCTTTAATAGCAGGCACGAACATTCCCTGAAGAGAAGACAATAAAATTATGTTACACTAAAAACACATAGAGCACTTTATCATACATGAAAGTGCCCAAATCAATGTAAATAAATACCATAAAACAAATTTAATCCAAAAAGTAAAACGGCATGAAGAGGAGGAGTTGGAGCATACCCAGTGAAGATCCGTATACGCTGGTTGATCCACATAATGCCTTAACCAGTATGCCTCTTCCTCTGCAATAATGGTAGCACAGTTGAATTAATAAACCAAAACAAAAAAAAAAATAGTAGTCTACGAAACGAGAACTCCCGTGTGGAGACATACCGGATAGCCGCAGCTCTGTGATCCGTTTCCAAGCATGAGCCGCTTTTTGCAGAGTGTTTTTAAACAAATCCTTCCTACTCAGCAATGTTCTGTTATCCTTTCTAAAGACCTGACAGTACAACAATTCCAATTAAACGAATCTAAATAAATATAAAATAATATTCACGGCCGAATTGCTTTCCGTGTCTTAATCATTGACCCCAGTCCAAGAAATACAACTGAAAACAACAAATCACAATAAATTTTCAACAACTTTTTTGAAAGAAGGAAACTTTCAAACAATTCAACAAATTAACAATTTTTAACCGATCAAAAGAAAAACAATCACTCATCTGTTCATTAATTAATACACATTTACGAGCATTTTCGACGACAAAGTAGAGCTAATGACATCTTTCTCAACAGTCAATTTAGAAAAGAAGAAAAAACTTGGCCTGCTACCTGAGAAGTAACGACTGAAATGCGAAGCACAAACTCTGAACCATTCAAATAATTGAATTTACCACAAATTGGCAATTATGCCTATGCATCCTGGTGCATCCAAGCAATTATGCCTATGCATCCTTGTGCGGCTTCGATCGCCACCAATTTCCCTCTCCACTAACAACTACCAATTCAACCCACTAACGCTATCGATCTATTTAAAAAACAATTGAATTTATTAGAAATGATATGAAATTAGAACCAATTACCGGATCGCTAGCGACGAGGCGAGCAATTCGATCGGACACTTCCAAGGTGTGGCGAGAGCCGGCCCAGATGACTTTCATCTGGTCGACATCGAACATGCGCCTTGCTCCGCTCTTGCGCCAAATGATCCACCCCCTCCATTTTCACAGAAAGAGAAACCCTAGCAACCCAATCACTATGTCAATCGAAAACTCAGATTTCTGCTCTCTCTCCTTAGAGGAACCGATGAGAAGAATCGTCAACGTCCGTGAACAATCCACTGTATATATAAGAAAAACATGGGACGATTTGCTTTGGTTTCTAATTATTAATTCAATAAAAAAAAAAATTAATTTTTTAATTTATTTGTGGTCGCGGAGGATGAGGGTTTCTTGATGTCCCCACCGTTGTGTTTCCCAAAGTTCGTGTTAGAAGATTGACCACTTTCTTTTTCCTTTTCAATTTTGAATTTTTTTCTTTTCATTTTTAACGTGCAATTACATATGAAATCTCAGGTTACCCTTAACCTTGGCATTGAAGTTGATACCTTTTTTACCCAACAGCTTTCACAACCATTAGGTAATGTTTGGACCCGATGTTACGTCATCGTTATAGATAAAAATTTCTTCCTTTTTGCTTTTGAATGAAAATGCATCTACAAAAACAATTAACATTTTAGGTCAAGGCTAAGAGCCTCACGCGCTTACGATGAATGGAGGAGGGTTTTGGCCGAAGAACCTCCGATGTCAAAGTTAGAATTTTAAGAAAAAAAATATTTTGGAGAATTTAGAGAATTTTGCGGTAGGATTCAACTTAGATTTTTGGAGAAATTGAGTAGTATTTATAGGGATGTGACCGACCCCCTTTGAAGAGGTGGGAATCGGCCGCATTTAGTGGTTTTAGGGTGTAATTGCAAGATATTATGTCACCATAATATATTGCAATCAATTAGAAAATCAATTAATTAATTTAAGTAATTAATCCTATTTTGAATGAATATTTTGAGGTTACCTTGTGGTGAGGATTTGATGAGGATGGATGAAATAAATTTTGAATAAATACCTATTTTGATCATTTTTGACCTTGATTGAGTGGGCAAAGCACCTGAAACCATGGATGCAGATATGTGTTATCGCTATGGTTCAAAGGACCATTGGCCCCGTGTTTACTGAGCTCCCCAGAAAGTTGTAATTGAATATCATTCTTGTCGTAAGAAGTTTGAATCAAATTTTACGCAAGTGGACGAATCAGAGAGTACCAAGATTAGAATCTTAGACATAAACTATTTTTTCTAGTTGAAATTTAGACATTGAGGCTAAATTCCATCTAGTGGCCGAACCCTTTTGTGTTTTTGGTTAAATTTGAACAATTTTCATTTATGTTTGGATTATTTGTTGGTGATTTGTTTTTTGGATTTTAAGGTTTGGATATTTGTTTTCAAGAACTTTTATGCATGTGACCAATTCAAATTAATTTTTCATTCTAGGTATGACTAGTGGGGAAGTTAGTTGTCTGGCAAATAGTGCAACCACACACATCGTTTTGCGTGATCTATTTCACTAGCTTCATACCTAAGAATGCACCTCTAACAACCCTCTCAGGCCCATCCAACCTGATTGAAAGATACGGTAAGACACGTATAATGTTGTCCAATGGTGCAATTTTGACCACTGTTGAGGCACTTTATTCTCCAGAACGTTGTTGAATTTCAAGGACATTAGAGATAATAATTACCACGCTGAAACTTATGTAGAAAATGGAGTTGAATTTATATGCATAACTTCCTACGTATATGGTCAAAAGCATATTCTAAAGAAAATGGAGCGTATCCCGAGTGGTTTGTATACTAATGACCATTCGACTTATAGAAAGCCACTATGTGGCCGACCCTACCTCTGGGATTGTGCACGAAATTACATTTGGAATGATCATTTGGGACACCCTGGACGAACAACGATGCGTCGTATTCTTAAATCATCACCCAGGCATCCACTAACTTGCAATTTAGGTTCGATTCAAGGAATCGCATGCCAACCCTGCTCCATGGGAAAACTTATTATTAAGCCTTCTCATGACAAGATTCGCTTGAATCCTCCTATTTTTCTACAAAGGATTTAAGGGGACATTTGTGGATCGATTCACCCTTCATGCGGACCTTCACCTTTCATGCAAACCTTTTCGATATTTTATGGTTTTGGTTTACGCTTCCACTCGTTGGTCACATATGTGCTTGTTGTCCACAAGGAATGTTGTATTCTCCAAACTGTTGACTCAGGTTATCAAGCTCAGGGCTCACCATCCTAATTATCTAATTAAATTTATTTAATTAGATAATGCTAGGAGAATTACATCTAAATTTTTTATGACTATTGCATGTCGGTTGAGGTTGAAGTTAAACATCCAATACCTCATGTTCACACCCAGAACGGCCTAGAAGAGGCATTCATTAAGTGCTTACAAATGATTGCTCGATCGTTGGTCATACGTACCAAGCTCCCGATTGCTGTGTTAGGGCCATGCAATATTGCACGCAACCATGTTTATCCGTTTAAGGCCTGTTGCGACCCAACCATATAGCGTCCTTCAGTTGGTTACCAGATACGAACTCGATATATCGAATTTGTGCGTTTTTGGTTGTGTGGCCTATGTGTTGATTTCGCCGCCCTTACGTACAAAAATAGGGGCCTCAGCAAAGGATGAGAATCTATGTCAGATATGATTCTCCTTCAATCATTCATTACCTAGAACCTTGGATAGCGATATGTTTACCGCTCGTTTCACAGATTATCACCCTATGAGACAGTTTTCTTGTCGTTATGGGGAGATAAGAACGTCAACTTTCCTGATGAACAACGCGAATTATTGTGAACAACTCCTACTTTGTCTCATTTAGATCATAGCATCGCTCAGTCTGAAACTGAAGTGTAACGCATATTAGATTTTTAAAGCATAGCTCAGAGCATGCCAAATGTTTTCATCGATCTAGCAGTAAGTAACAAGATCACATATTCCAGTTGCAAATGTGCTTGCAAAGATGGATGTACTAAATGTACAACGGACTTCCTTTTTGGAGGCCCGGGACGTCACTTTGGCCGATCCACGTACATTAGCGGCTAGCCAATCATCTGCCCCTATATAAAAGCGTGGCAGACCTCTTGGTTGAAATGATTCACACCCCTGGAAGAGGAAACCTATGGCACAGGCCCCTGCTAAGTCTACCATGAATCTAACTGTCACTCACTCATTCTATCCAACTCATGAGGAAATTCTAGATTACGGAAGCGCCCTTGAAGAGACGAATTCTCTTCTTGAGAATCGTGAGATTTTGGTCTATTATGCTAGCTTAGATGATGTGTGGTGTAGAAATGAGATGATCGTCGACGATACATTAGCATATACAGTAGTTACTGAGATTATGTTAAGCGATTACATTGACCCTATTCCATTGATGAATGTCGACATAGAACCAATTGATCAAACTAGAAACAAGCAATCCAAGTTAAACTCGATTCGCTTGTAAAACATAAGGTGTTTGGACCTGTAGTTCATACTCCTCTATATAGGAAGCCCGTTGGTTACAAGTGAATTTTTGTTCGAAAGCCTAATGAGAAGAACAAAATTGTGATTTCAAAGCTCGTCTATTGCACAAGACTTCTCACAACACCCCGAGATTGACTATGATGAAATTTATTCACCTCGTTATGGATGTGATTACTTTCGCTACCTTATCAGTTTGGTAGTTTTCGAAAATTAAGTATACAGCTAATAGACGTAGTAACTGAATATCTCTATGAGGATCTTGATACAGAAATTTACATGAAAGTTCCGAACTGACTTACATTGACTGGATCAAATATTTCCAAACCCCGGAACACTGCTTTCAATTCGGCTGAGGCGTTCACTCTACATTTTGAAGCAATCGAAATAATGTGGTATAATTGTCTGAGTGAGTATTTGACTAGTCAGGGATATGTAACAACTGAACTATGCCCTTATGTGTTTGTTAAGAAGTCATATTCTGATTTTGCGATTATTGCAGTATATGTCGATGATATGAATCTTATCAGAATCCCTAAAGAGCTCGCGAGAACTATCGCGCACCTGAAGTCGAATTTGAGATGAAATATCTAGGAAATACTCGATATTGTCTTGGTTTCGAGATAGAGCACTGTTTGGATGGAATCTTAGTACATCAATCGAATTATACCTAGAAGGTGTTGCACTACTTTAATAAGGATAAACCGAAACCTTCGAGTGCTTCTATAGTCGTTCGATCGCTAGATGCAAAACGAGATCCCTTCCGTTCGAATGAGGATGATGAAGAGATTTTGGAGCCTAAAGTTCCTTATCTAAGTACAATATGTGCTTTATTGCACTTAGCTCAATGCTTTAGACCTGACATCTTAGTCGCTGTTAATCTTTTGGCAAGATACAGTAATGCACCAACACAAAGACACTGGACTGGTGTTAAAGACATCTTCCGTTACCTTAAGGGTATTATTGGGCTTGTTCTATCCCTACAAATCCTTAAGTGATGCCAAACCCCCGTATCTCAAGTCGATTCTCACCTTGTTGTTTCTGTCGACGCAAGATACTTATCTGATCTGCACAAGGAGCGTTCTCAAACGGATTATGTTTTTACCGTTAGAGGCACCACAATTTCTTGGAGGTCAACTAAACAGACCTTAGTTGCCACTTTGTCTAACCATGCTAAAATTCTTGCCTTATACGAAGCAACTTGGAAATGCTCTTGGTTGAGAGTAGTTATGGGCCATATTCGAAGCTCATGCAATCTTTACCCCGTCATTGATGTCCCGACGACGATCTATGAAGACAACACAACATGCATCGAACAGCTTAAGAAGGGTTACATCAAAGGAGACAACACCAAACACATTACGTCGAAATTCTTCTTCTCACATCAACAACAAGAGCATCAGAAGATTGAAGTCACGCAAATCCATTCACAAGACAATCTGGCCGACCTTTTCACCAAATCACTACCAAATGTGACGTTTCAGAAGCTTGTTTAAGGAATTGGTATGCGTAAACTTTCTGAGTTGTAACATTGTTAGTTCTCTTTGGAATTGTGTCAAACTCAAGGGGAGTATCCTGAAGTATACTTATTTGATCTTAATGTACTATTTTTCCCTACGATTAGGAGCATTTTCCCACTA